TGAAAGCATAAAAGAGATGTTAGGAGAATGTGGCATTTTATATGAAAATAACTTCTAAATTAACTTTTAAAAGATTATTATATCAATTCCTTTAAGTGAAGTCCAATTTCATTTGATGCTGGCTTTCCTGATGATGTAAGGAAAATCTGAATTTAATTGACATTTCAACATTTGCCATATCTAAACACTCATACCTGAAACCCAAAAGAGCAAAAGCCCAAGGAGCTGAGATGTCGATACCATCTTCCTTCTTTCCCCAAGTTTAACTGGGTCATGCCACAATACAGAAGAAGACCTTCTTATAATATTCTAACAGGCAGGTACCCTAGAAGGAAGAAATACTTATGCAAATGATACTGACTTCATATTGATTCCAATAAACAACTGCTCAGAAGAGCAGGCTCCCTGTGACTTCTTGAATTGTATCTCCCACTTCTGGTTACCTGACTAGATATTAAGATTTGGAAATAACTTGTGCTTGTATCCCACACACATAGGTGCAAGCTAGCAGAGCCTATGGAATACTCTATGATAAATTCAGAAGTTTGAATGCCAGATCATCTCATATCCCTGGTTTTGATTCAGGATTATATTTTCTCCCTTGGTGTTTTCTACAATATTGGCTGAAATATCTGTAATTGTCTGAACATTTCACAAAGCATTTCAGTGTTTAATACTAAAGAGATATCATATTATTGAGATATCAATGACAAGAATTGGAAAGCTTAGGTCCTCCCCCCCATGTGTCCAGAGAGCATGCCTCCCCATGTAAATTTGTATGCCAAGAATAAATACTGATCTACTGTCCAAGGTCACATAGATTGTCAAGGATTCTTCTCTAATACCCAGGTTCAGGGATGGGGGTCTAGATCAGTCTCATGCTGAACCCTCAGTCATCAGACTCGGTTCCATTGGTTCACTCTTGTTTTTGTCAGCTGCCTCTCTGGGTTTTGTCAGCTGGATCTTATCCTTTGGTCATCACTCCTCTTTGCCACTGGGTTCCAGGAGTTCAATTCTGTTGTTAGCTGTGGGTATCTAGCTCTGCTTCCATCAGCCACTGGATAAGGGTTCAAGGATGGCATATAAGGTATACACAAATCTTATTATCATGGTTGGGCATTTAAGGTAGCCTTAATGTCAGTTGGTGTCATTATTGTAGATCTCGGGAAATCTCACTATTGCCAGATCTTTCCTGCAAACTAGAATGGCTCCCTCTATTAAGGTATCTATCATTGTTCTTCCCTCTCTTCTTGCATTGACTAAACCTTCCTTTTCACCTGTGTGATCCTCTCCCCTCCTCATCTCCCCCTAGTTTTCTCCCATCTCCCTCCCCATTTCCCTCCCCCTTGATCCCAATCCAATTAGGAGATCTCATCCCATAACCCTTCTTTGGGTTACCATGCATATATCTCTTAGGGTCCTCCCTGCTACCCAGACGCTCTGGCAGTGGAATTGTAGGCTGACAATCCTCTGCTCTATGTCTAAAATCCATATATGATTGAATACATACTATATTTGTCTTTTTGTGACTGGGTTACCTCACTTAGGATGGTTTCTTCTAGTGTCATCCATTTGCTGGCAAATTTCAAGGTTCCATTATTTTCCACTGAATAGTACTCCATTGTGTAGAAGTACGACATTTTCACTCTCCACTCTTCAGTTGAGGGGCATCTAGGTTGCTTCCAGGTTCTGGCTATTACAAATAATACTGCTATGAACATAGTTGAGGAATAGTCCTTATTGTGTGAGTGTACATCTTTTGGGTATATGCCTAAGAGTGAAAATGCTGGATCTTGTGGTAGATTGATTTCCATATTCCTGAGGAATCTCCATAACTATCTCCAAAGTGTCTACACAAGTTGGCAATCCAACAAAAAGGAGAGGAGTGTTCCCCTTTCTCTACATCCTCTCCATCATAAAGTGTCATTAGAGATTTTTTTTATTTTAGCCGTTGTGACAGGAGTAAGATGGTATCTCAGAGATGTTTTGATTTGCATTTGCCTGATGGCTATGGATGTTGAGCACTTTCTCATTGTCTCTCAGCCATTTTAGACTCCTCTAGAGAGAGAATTCTCTTTTTAGTTTTGTAACCCACTTTTTAATTGGTTCCTTTAGTGTTTTGGAGACTTTCTAAGAAGAAATTTGTAAATTTTGGAGATCAACCATCTGTCAGATGTGGGGTTGGTGAACATCTTTTTTCCATTCTGTTGTCTGTTGTTTTGTCTTGTTGACTGTGTCCTTTGCCTTGCAGAGGCTTCTTAGTTTCAGGAGGTTCCATTTATTATTTTCAATCTCAGTGTCTGTGCTACTCATATTATGTTCAAGAAGTGATCTCCTGTACCAATTTTCTCAAGGGTACTTCCCACTTTCTCTTCTAAGAAGTTCAGTGTGGCTGGGTTGATGTTGAGGTTTTTGTTACATTTGAACTTAAGTTTTGTGCATGGTGATAGATATGGATCTACTGAATATCTGTAACATGAACTGCCAAGATTGTAACACAAAGAGAATAAGATGAAAGGGGAACACTCATTCACTGTTGATGGCGGTGCAAAAAGTATGATATCAGTGTGCAGTTTCCTCAAAAAAATTCAAATAAGACTACAGCATGATCCAGCTATGCAATTCCTGTGGGTAGACCCAAAGACTCTATATGCTATGACAGACATAAATGCACATCTATGCATTTTTGTCATCTCTTCACAATAGCTAGGAAATGAAATCAAATTAAATGTCTACTAAGAATCCATAAAATGCAGTACATTGTACAATGTGATTTTATTCATCTCTTAAGAATTATTAAAATTTTGGGAAATGGGTGGATGTAGAAAAATTATAGTGATTGAATTATTCTAGTCCCTGATAAGAAAAATTGCTGCATGTATACCTGATATATGAAATATAACTTTAAAATTTTTAATTTTTCTGTTTAACATGTTCACTACCTTGATGTAAGAAGCTATAAAGGGACACCCAAACTTGGAGGTCTTTGGATGGGTGAGTGTAGGACACATATGATTGAAAATTAAAATTGGGAGATAATTTGGGAAGAATTGCTTGTACAGGATTTGGGCTCAGGAATTGAGAATAAAAGAGAATTAAGTACATTAAATTTGTTTTACTAATCCCAAGAGGAAAAGAAATCTGACTAGCAAATCATAATTGATGAGCAAATTTTGGATGAGCCACTGGAGATAATAGAGAATCTTCTAACTGACTTTATACAGGCACTCAATAAAAGGATGAGATATATGTAATTAACACATGTTTTACTCACAGTAAAACAGCTTGAATAGAATATTAGAGTACATGCTGTACCTATGATCATTAAAACCCAGAAACACAGGGTTACTAAAAACTCCCTTCCTTCCTTCCTTCCTTCCTTCCTTCCTTTCTTTCTTTCTTTCTTTCTTTCTTTCTTTCTTTCTTTCTTTCTTTCTTTCTTTCTTCTTTCTGTTGTTCCTCCTTCCTACATTTCCTTCTTTTTTTCCTTTCTCTTTCATTTATTCTTCTTCCTTTCTTCTTTGTTTTCTTTTTATTTAAAATTGATTTTTTTTCTTCAAACTATATGCTGATTATGGCAACACCAGCACAACAGAGTGACCCAACACAACACTATCCAGAAGCCTCTGTTCAGTGTAAGTGATCTTCCAGGAAACAGAGTATGTACTGTGTAGCCTAAATCTATTTTTTTCATGAAAAGCTTAACACTGTGCTGAAGCTTGAGTGGGTTGACCACAGCAGCAAAGCTAAGAGGATGCTTAGATAAGATAAGAAGGGATGGAGCTGAGAATCATCTCTAAGTAAAGTGCTATGGAGACAATAAACAGTGGTCAAATTAATGATTCCATAAAAACTTAGATAAAAGGCAATCAAATGATCTTTTAATGGTCTTTGAGGTCATGATGGCTTTGCCCATTTCTCAATACTCTATTAGCTAGTCATATACTTCTTTATGCTTGCCTCTGTTTAGATTGGCTGCCAAGGCAAGGCATTCAACCTTGGCCTCTACTACAACCACAAGATTTCTTTAAAAAAATTAGAAGGGAGGAAATGCTGGGAGCACACATGAAGGTCTTTTCATCCACAAATGTACAGGGAAACCAGAAATGTGCATCACAAAGAGGTGCCTGAACTCCAAGTAATAGGACCAGATATAGCCCACATAAATCTGCACTGTCTGTAAGACCAAGATCCTTCTTAGACTCTTAAACTAGTGCAGATTGCCTAACTCTAGAACTCATTTCTTGGATGAAGTGGTATAAATTCTGAGTTAAGTTTTAATGTAATTATACTTGTTTGTGCACCAGGGTTTTATCAAACCAGCAAAATTGTTTGCCAAATTGCACTGTGTTTAAATTTGCTCGAATATGGTGCCTAACATCAGGATTACCAAGTCTGATTCAAATTGATGAAGGTAATTTGAACAGAGTTTTCATCCTCTCCTCTTTGTTGATTGTTTACCTGCCTTGACACTGGCCTTGTTCCGTTTACTCAGAGGTCAGAAGAGTGGCTTAGAAACCTTTCAATTGTAGGTACCAAAAGCTAGGATTCATGTGAGTTTGAGGTACAAAACCTAGGTCCTCTGAAAGATAATAGTCAGAGCCTTTAATCAGTAGGCATCTCCCCTGATTCCTTCTCTCTCTCTCTCTCTCTCTCTCTCTCTCTCTCTCTCTCTCTCTCTCTGTGTGTGTGTGTGTGTGTGTGAGTGTGTGTCTGTTGACAATACTGTTGTATGAAGCCCCCTTGCTGTTATAAATCTACTATTCAAGAAAAGTTATTTTGTGAGTCATAATAAGGATTTTGTTGTTTTACTGCAGGGCCTAATGAAAGAGCAGAGATTTAGGACATAGGATGTTTTTCTGATTTCTATTATAAAACATCATATTGGCCTTTATATCCTGGCTAATAAAAACACTATTAGTAGCTAGAGACACCAGACAAAACAAATGGGGCAGCCTGGGCTTTCACTTCTGCTTCCCTTAATGGGTTAGGTAATGGCTTCAATCACTGTGGGGAGTATCAAAATCCTGATGACAGAAGTAAGTTGCAACATCTTCAGCCTGCAGGCTGTTTATCTTAAAAGAATAATGTGTTCCAGATCCACTGCCACTGAACCTCGGTGGGACCCCATCTGCCAAGTTGGTTGCACCATAAATCAGGAGATTAGGACGTCCCTCTTTTTTCAGCTGATACCAGGCTAAATACCCATAAATATTCTCACTTGCAAGGCATGTGATGGTGACAGTTTCTCTGAGAGATGCAGACAGGGAGGATGGAGACTGAGTCATTTGGATGTTACATCTGGCACCTGAGATTAGAAAATTAAGAACACACTCACACACTATTAATCCTGTTAGAAGAGAACTTTCCCAGAAACCAGTAAGCACTGCTCATACTCAGCTGAATAAATTTCCAATTCTGTTCTTTTTTTTTTTACCTGTAAACCAGAGCAGCAGCAATACCAGAAGTTGAGTGGGTGCCGTCATGTCTGTGCTGTTACTTGTGTGAAGCTGACTCCAACACAAGGTGCACTTTGACTTTGAAGAAATACTCAGGGCAGTGGGCTGTGCTCTGTGAATATGCAAATCATCAGTGGGTGAGTACAACCATGGTAGTGGCCAAGACAGCGGCTCAGTACTGGTTTGCGGTGAGCCTCTTAAGTCTCAGATCACAGAGGCCATATAGTGTTATCTGTAGGGAATGTGTCCTCTTTGAAAAACAAATAACAGAACTAGTCTATAAGTTGTACACTTTTTTATTTCTGTCATATATTCTGTAGGATTTCTTTGTTATATTTCCCTTCATGGGAGGAAATTTCAGAAATGATACAGTCATAGACTGTACACAAATTGTACACAAATGGATATTCTTCTGTTTTTTCTGTTTGTTTGGGAGACTAAATTTTAATTATAAAATTTCCCTTTTGCAACTTCTCATTCCAAATGCTCCCAAATACAGGCCCCCACCATTTCTCTAATTCATAGCCCCCTGTTTCAATTTTTTGCATGTACACATGTATTTACACACACATAAATATTCCTACTTATTGTTTCCATATAATGCTATTTGTATGTATATTTTCAGATTTGATCACTTGACACTTGACAACCAATTGTGCACTCTTCCCTGTGAATGAAGACCTCTCGCACTCTCAGCTTTACCAGTTGTCTTTGGTTCTTTTGTAAAATATAGGTCTCATGGGATTTTTCACTATTTACTTTTCAGGATTTATTGGTATCATTCTTGTTCATCTTATATTTTTGTTGTATTGTTGGCAAGACTTTCTGGATATAGCTTCTGTTGTTACTAGAAAACACAGTCTCAGAAAAAATTCCCTAGTCCTCTGCCTCTGTAAATCTTTCTACTCTCTTTACTAAATATTCCCTGAGCATTTCTATGGAAGCCTCTTGTAAATGTATCCATTGGAGCTAAGCTCCAAATGTAACCATCCAGCTTTTTACCTCGGAGATTCTCCAGAAAAAGAATAGAATGTTCCTGGAAGGCATGGTTTGTAAGTAAGGGCAGGATCTCATGTAACTAACCTATCTTTCCAGGCAAATAATATTATTTTACTCTATTTGTCACAATTTAGCTACTCAGGAAAAGCTACATTCTATGCCAGAAAAGGTCATAGGATTTTCCACTACAATCTGTTCATATGAGCTCTTTTCCTAAATTTGGCTAGGATTATATCATTGCCCAATGTTACTGTGAGGCTTCAGGTTAAGGTGTCATGCTTCAGTATCCTCTTAACACATGTTATTGTATTCATAGAATGTGAGTGTCCTCTCAGAATCAGTCACTCGTTGTCCTTGAATGTACAACTCTTCCTAAATTTTCATGTGCTATAGTCACCATATCTCTTAAGGATATTAAGAGGCCATGCCTCCCAGTTAAAGTTTAGCACAGAAGGAAACAAGTTGGGTGATGAGAGAAACCTGTAAAAAAACAGTGAATTTAGAAGCTACATATGGGGATTTATAGTGATGTCTAAGCTTAGTGTGGGTTGTCATGAAGGGTTGAATGGTAAGAGTTTATATGTTCAGAAAACCTTTTTATAAGTGATGGATGTTGTGAAGCATGAGAATGACACACACTCATGGCCTGAAAATGAGGATGGTCACTGAAGAGGTATCAAAAACAATAGAGAGGTTCATAGGTTAGGAAAAGTATTGACCTGAAAATCAATGACAATGGTAACTCTGAATATTATGATCATTGTGTTTGCTTTCAAGTATATGCCAAGAAGTCTGCAATAGAGATAAAATATACACCTTCCATTAGTTCCATCCATCAACACGAATACATTTCTCATAATAACATCATTAATTATACTAATGATTATAGGTAGTCAATAATTATTTCATAATTTAAGTTTCTTAGATGTGTGGCACAGAACACTCATCACAGTATGGATCATATTTGTTCTCTACAGACAGGGAAAGATGATTTTTTTGCTACCCCAGTCCCAGGGCTAGGAACTCTTTTTGTGGAAAATAGTATCTGTGTGTGCTCTACTTGCTCCATAACTGAGAGAATTTACATAGAAGCGCACAATTTGTTTTATTTTCTGGAAAGTAAGTTACAATTGCAACATATCTGTTTTATGATTGCATTGACACAGTGTCTGGGCACTTTCAGCTGGGGCTACCTCTGCTTTCACTTGCTTCAGGAGGTTACATTCTTGGAACAGTCTATAATGATTATTGGAATCAAGACATGATGAATGCATATACCTTGATCAGACACTTGATTCCCAAAAGTGATCCCTTTTCAAACTCCTCTTTAAACCAATTTTCCAGCCAGCACACTGCATTGTCTTAGAGCATGTAACAATATAGAACATCTAAAATCTAATTCTTGAATTTATAGTTTAACCTTCAAGTCAATCATAATTTATTATTTATAGGTGTGTGAATTGTTGAAACTATTCAGAGGCAAAACACATCATCAATAAAGAACTCGACTAAGTCTAATATTGTGGGGAAAGTCTTTGCTGGTTGTTCTGTGTATTGATTCCTGAATGGCAAAGGGAAACCATGCAAAAAGCTTCCACTTATTTTGTTGGTGAAAGTACAAACCTTTGGATCCATCAAACAACATGACAAGAGCCTCTGGGGATCTTAATTTCCCACTTACTTTGGCCAACAGTCAGTTTTTTCATGGTCCTGTATACAGGACTGTTGTGGTCTACAGTCTCAATTTTAAGAATCTGTGGAGCATGTCCCAAACAGGGAAAACAAAAGAAGAACACACATGGAGAAAGAATTATTTGCATACATTCATAGCATTAGCAATATTGAATATAGAAAAAATGGACAAAAATGGCTTCTCCACAGCAAATTAAATTCATGCCTTGATAATCTTTTGACTTCCAATTATGATCTTTTTTGACGAAGCTGAGATATCGGATGTCAGCTGTCTTATGTCATATGTTTTCTCTCATATTTACCAAATACATTATTTCAAGACCCTTTATAACTTGACTTTGAAAAGTCTTTAGGATGCTGATGAGCATCCTCTCATCAGTTTATATCTATATTCATCCCAACAGCTGCATCAGCTCTGTACAGGACTACAACGGGTCCTGTAAAGGAAGCATGAGTGACACTGATCCTCTAAGTGAGGAATGATGGGAAATGTCCTTCTGTTTATATTTTTGTCTTATTGGGTGATGAATAAAACACTGTGTCTAGTAGAGGTAGGGAGGTAGGGGGACTACGGGATGAGGAGAATTCTGGGAAAAGTAGGCAGAGTGAATTGCCATGTAGGATGCCAGAGGATTAACAGGTCTGGACTCTTGTTTGATAAGTCAAGACCATGTGCACAGGACAAGAAAAAACAGTGAATCCCAAGTGATTCAGAAACTATAATCTTCTTGTATCCCTAGTGTTACTGTAATTGACAGTGTAAAGGCTTGTAATCTTGAACTGATAGACATGAATTACTGCCTACACCTGCTGATGAGATCATCAAAATCAGGATTGGATTGGGTCTTTATCCAAGTGGAGGAATGATAAAGTGGACAATGGTAATGGAAAACTATACTGTTCTCAGTAAACTTAATGAATCAAACATGGGACTTTTTCTTCCTATGAGTCATCAGCAGCTTTGAGAAAAGTATTGTATAAGCTCTCACACATAAACATATATGTGAAAATATATATATGCAAAAAGTTCTTGCTTCTAAAAAGTAAGAAAATACTGGTCTGAGATGTAGCTTATGTGATGGAATTCTTGCCTACTAACAAAATAATTTCTGTGGATTATAACACCAACATTGCGTGAACTGGGTCTGATATTGTACTCCTGTAGTTAATTTTTAGGAATAGGAATGAGGGGTGCAAGCAGGTCAAGTTTGAGTCAGGGTTTTGTGAGGCCTGTACTTTATTAGGACAAAAGTTTAAGTTTTAAAACTTGCTAGAAATGTTAAATGTATTAAATGTAGTTGCAAATATTAATGTGTTGGAGAATGTATTACTTCCTACACACATTCAATCCACAAATGAGTTACATCAGATAGATCCATGTAAATTGGAAATAGTATTAGACAAGAATATAGTTAATATAACTAATGTTGGGATAACTCCACATGTACATATGGTAAGAAGTTATATTTCAACATTTTGTGGAAAGGCCATCTAATATAAAGTCGTGACATAGTTCTATAATGAACCATAGACTAAGAAATGTGTACCATTCTTGGGTAATGCCTTTCCTCAGGGCTCACCTGGCTTCCTGAGCATTGCTACTACTGGAACAACTCAGGGTAAAGCAAAGCATCTATACCACAAGGCAGGATAGTGTAAACATTTATAATGTGAAAGAAGGATGGTATTGAACATATAATGATTTGGAATAATTTTTATTTTAGTCATTTGAAACGTTTCATATAGAAACATAGTTGGTGACATCTCCAAACTCTAAAATTTAAAAATTAGTCATATAGAGTCTCTATCTATACTTTACTTAGTGGAATGAAGAAAGTTTTACAACTTTCTCACATTAGTAGTTTTTTGCTAGGTACATCCATTTCCACAGAACTGTACGCTCTTCAAAAATATAAGATGCTATCATCAGTACTCCCCATCCCAAGAAGAAAGAGTGGAGAATTCTGCTATCATTGTTTACTTCTTACTTCTGGAGAAACAGTCTCTAATGCAATACTTCTCTGAGACAGAACTGCTGTTCTTGCTAAACGACACATTTATGAAAAAGAAAGTCATACATTCATACATACATTCATACACACATACTCTCAAGTGCCCAACAACATTCCCCTGGAATCAGTGCACCATCTTAAGGAAATCTGAACCACACCTTTCAACATTCCTCTACACAGGTTTCCAAAGAGATGGGGTTTTGTGTTATCTTATAATAATAACTCCATTTACACATTTACTTTACTCTTTTGCAAGAAAGTAGCTGCTTAAGAACCCTGAGTTAAATCCAGCTCTGGTTCTGTGTCAAACGTACTGGGGGCTTCTGTTATATATCAGTCAAAGTTT